GGGGATCAAGTGGGCAGGGGAGAGCAGTTAGGACAATCAGGCTGGCAGGGGAGAGAAGTTAGGGGGGGTCAGGCCAGCAGGGAGAGCAGTTAGGGAGATCAGGTCAGCAGGCAGGTGAGCAGTTAGGAGCCAGTGGTCCCAGATTGCAAGAGGGATGTCTGGCTGCCAGTTAGGGGGATCCCAGGGATCGAGCCCAAACCAGCAGTCAGACATCCCCCAAAGGTTCCCTGATTAGAGAGGGTGTAGGCTGGGCTGAGGGACACCCCCTGCCCCCGTGCACGAATTTCGTGCACCAGACCACTAGTCCTATATAATAAAAGAGAAACATGCAAATTATCCACCCCTCGGCTATGCTCACCAGCCAATTGGATTGAGTATGCAAATTAACCAGACAAAGATGCAGGTGAACAACAAGCACCAGCATCCAGCCCTGCCCAGGCTGCTCCAGGCCTGTGGGCAGCGTGGGGAGAGCCTCTGTGCAGGGGAGGCAGGCCAGTGGAGGGCAGTCTGTACTTCCTACATGACTTCGATGGCAGCTGTGAGCGTGCCAAGCAGAGCCTTGGGGCCGAGCTGAAGTAGTAACTGCAGGCCATCAGCACTGAGGAGTGGCTGTGCAAGTCCCGCCTCCTGGCCCAGAAGGTGCAGGATCTCAGGGACAGCCACCCTGGTGGGCCAGATTGATGTCCTCCTGGCCGCGCCACAGGGGTTTGCAGATCTGGGAAGCCACAGGCCTCTGGTGCACACATCCTCTCCTCCCCTCTGGCATGTGAACATCCCCCAGCATGCTGTCACCCTTGTGCACTTGCAACAGTCCCGGACCAAGGCGCGCACAAGTTCCCCCCACTCCTCCGCCGCACTTACATCAACCCCAACATGCCTAACTCCCCCAGAGGATGTGGACACATCCCCTCCGGCATGCTCATGTCCTTTGGAGAGTGTCTGGGTGTTCTGGGTGCTGAGGGTGGGTGCCTGTGAGATGACAGTGAGAGGGCAAAGTGGTGACGCCCTGTTCCCGCAGACACCAGTGCAGTGACA